ACTGGTGCAAAGCCGGGATAGTCCCAGTATATAAAGGAAAAGGTTCGCAGCAGGGCTGTAAAAACTACCGCGGTATCAGCCTTCTTAGCATCGTGGGAAAATTGTATGCTAAGGTACTAATTGAAAGGGTCATGAAAGAAGCCGATGGAAAAATTTGGGATGAGGGATTGAATGGGATTTACAGATCAAGTCTTTTGAACGTTCGTTTGACGTCCTTATAGCGCTGATGCTGACCACCGTACCTTCTGCCATCTCTGAGTAAAAGATAGCTTTAGGTAAACGACGGTCTTCCATATGAAGGATGAATGAGCTGACGACGCATTAAGAGAGTTTCAATGTCGAACATTCCAGATCATAGGAAGTATATTTGCCATGGATGCCACGCGTTGGCCACCGCAGTTACTTTTCTAATTGTTATTCGGAATACTCTCATCTCCTGGTTTCCCTTTTGCTTTCACTCTGTCGCCTCTCATGACATTCTCAGGACGCATCTACATTTTAATTCTTATTCGGGGATAAATGCAAATAACTATGAGCCCCAGTATCCACATACCATTAGGTGGACGGTGGCGGTGTAAGAATATCCACTACCCCATATCATCCACTACCCTATATCATCCACTACCCTATATCATCCACTACCCCATATCATCCACTACCCCATATCATCCACTACCCCATATCATCCACTACCCCATATCATCTACTATCAATTTAATATTTTTAAATAATGTTTACCTATTCATGCCGTGTATAAAATGTAACTTGCTTTTAACTGTTCAGTATACTCACCTAATACTTATTTAACTTATTTACATAATACATTCAAACACAACACAACTCAATCACACACTCATTAATAGTAAACACTCACTCTTGTTATATTTTTATTCAAAACTAATTAAATATTTTTAAATAATATTTATCTACTTTTGCCGCTTATAAAATGTAAATCACTTTTAAGTGTTCAGCATACTCACCTCATACACATTTCACTTATTTACATAATACACTCGAACACAACACAGCTCAACCACTCATTCATTAATATTAAACATACACTCTTAATAGTTATATTTTTAATCAAATCACTTTTAACTGCTCAGTTTACTCACCTCACACTTATTCCACTCATTTACATAATACATTCAAACAAAACACAACTTAATCACTCACTCATTAATAGTAAACACACACTCTTAATTTTTATATTGTACATACGATCCATTAACTATAGCTTTAAAATTAGCAGTACCACTTCAAGTGATTATTTTATACTGTTAGTTAAAGAATTTAAGTTAAAAGTACACTATGTAACGTCTTTAAATGAATTACAAATACTTAGTTATGGGCTATTACTTGCAGTGGTTACTTTACATATTTATTGTACACAATTTAACTTTTTGTACTCAATTACTAATATAATTAAAAGGCGATAACACAAAAAACTTAAACGACGATATTGACCAATTTACTATATCAAACACATCACTACTTTACGACCTGGATAATTTGTCTAGATTAATATCTGATCAAAAATATAAGTTAAAAATAATGCATCAAAACATTAAAAGCATAACTCGCAACATAGATGAACTTAATGTTCTAATACATAGGTCAGCTTTACAATGGGACTTAATTCTTCTTACAGAATGTTGGTTGCCATCCACTCACTATATTCCGATAATGGATGGCTGTAACTATTGTAAAACTATTAATAATGCAACCCAAAATGAGGGTGTAGTGGTGTATTTCAAAAAATCTTTGAATATAACCTGGCAGGAGCTGTCAATATCAGATTGTAATTGTATTCTTCTAAAAATAGGTAAGGATACCATAGTCCATGTAATCTATAGACCAGCTGGATTTAAGGATCCTACTAATTTTATTGAATCGCTTAGTAGTACGCTTGATCAGTATTCACATTATAAAACCATAATTGTAATTGGCGATATGAATATAGATATTGTTATACATAGTAAGGACTCCTACTCTCCATATTACTTAAATAGTCTGGCATCTAAAGGTATGTTACCTGCTCACACCTTCCCTACCCATGGCAATACGTGTCTAGATCACGTCATATTGAAAACAAAACTTCGGTCAACCTGCTACGTTGCGGAGACTTCCATTACTGATCATAATACTCTTACATTTCTATTAGAGGGTACTCTAGATACACGTAGTTTTCCGCCAAAAATTAGAGAACGTGTAAATTACGATAATTTAGATAGTTACCTTCTCACTATAGACTTTAAAAGTATTTATTCTATGGTAGATGTTGACTCAGCAGCTACATTCCTATTAGAATCCCTAAGTAATGCTTTAAAAATGAATACTAAAACAATTAAAGTTTCTAATCGCAAAATTATTAAAAAGCCCTGGATTACCCCAGGTATTTTGAGATGCTTAAGAAATCGCGACAAATTACACCAAAAATGTAAAAATCGTAACTACATACAAACGTTACCGTAATTATTGTAATGAACTACTTAAAAAACTGAAAAAAGAATATGAAAAAGCAGAATTAACAACAGCAGTTAAAACAAGCAATAAAAAACTTTGGAACACAATTAAAGCAGTCACAAATACGAATAAAATAAATAATAATGCCGATATATTGTTAAACAAATCTGACCCTAAAACTACAGTTAATTATGTTAATTCATTTTTTGTAAATATAGGTAAATCTTTGGCGGAAAAACACCACGTTAATAAAAACACTCGTTTTTCCTACAAACATATATCAACACTCCATGGTACTTATTGACACGGATGAACATGAAATAGAGACAATTATTTTAAATATGAAATCTGATTGTAGCGTACTATTAGGTAGAGATACTATTTCTACTTTATTTCTAAAAAGGTTCCTAGTTCCTCCCATTACATATATATGTAACCTTTCCCTTAAAACTGGTAAATTCCCCAAGTCTTTCAAACTAGCTGAAATTCACCCTATTTACAAGAGCGGTGATGTGGGCTGTGTCAATAACTATAGACCCATTTCCATTCTTCACACTATGTCAAAAATTCTTGAAAAAGTGATCAACAAGCGTTTGACTAATTACTTAGAGAAACATGATCTGTTATCACATTGCCAATATGGTTTTCGACCAAAACGTTCAACTCAGGATGCAGTTCATGAACTAACAGATTTCGTTGTTACAAACCTTGACCGTAAAAAGAAAGTAGTTGTTATATTCCTTGATCTAGCTAAAGAGTTTGATACAGTTTACGTTCCGCTCTTGTTGAATAGGCTAGAAGATCTTGGAATAAGAAATACACAGCTGAAACTTTTCTCTGACTACTTAACGGATCGATATCAGAGGGTAAGGATTGGTGGTTGCTACAGTGATGACCTTCCCATATCATGTGGTGTACCACAGGGTAATGTACTTGGTCCCACGCTATTTCTTACATATATTAATACACTATGTAATCTAAAAATTCACAATGGGAGGATCATTGCCTTTGCGGATGACACTGCTCTTCTTTTCCAGGCAGATACATGGTATGAGGTATTTAACTTCGCACAAAATGGGTTCGATTTAATAACTAAGTGGCTAAAAGAATCTAAACTTACATTAAATGTCGAAAAAACAAAATACATAGCATTTACTACCCAAAACATCAATGTATCTGAGTTAGAATACTTTCACATTACAGCTCACTGCTGCTCCCAAATTGAAAGCCCTTGCTCCTGTCCTACCCTGTCTAGAACGAATTGCATAAAATATCTTCGCGTAATGATAGATAACACCATAAGCTTTCATCTTCATATTGGCCTATTAAGTACAAGGATATGTAAGTTAATTTATATTTTTAAAAATCTACGTCGTGTTGCAGATTTTAACGTAAGAAAAATGGTATATTTTGCACTGTGCCAATCATTGTTGACATATTGCATTACCATCTGGGGAGGAGCACCTAAAACGACCCTATTGCAATTAGAAAGGGCTCAGAGGGCACTATTAAAAGTTAGCAATTCTCTTCCATTCCGTTGTCCTACAACTGACCTTTATCAACATTGTAATGTCTTATCTGTTCGTAAACTGTTTATATTGCACACTACGCTGCTACAACATTCTCTTATACAGTATGAGTCCTCCTATAATAATGACAAAAGAAGGAAATATGTAGTTTGTCCCAGTAAGCTTCTAAAGACAAAATTTTCGCATAAGCATTTTTGCTTCCTGGGAGGTTACCTTTATAATAAATTAAATAAACTTTTGTCAATTTACTCTCTACCAAAACATGCATGTAAACAAAAATTACAGAAGTGGTTGCTAAATATCGATTATATGGCTGCTGAAAATTTACTGAGAGTATTATCCTAAAAACACATAACCCTACAAAAATGAGTGCACACATATACTCGCACACACACACACACACACACACATACACACCCACACACACACACACAAACACACGCACACATACACATACACCCACGCACATACACATACACACACACACACACACACACACACACACACACACGCGCGCGCGTACACATTCACACTATTATACATATAGAAATAACTTTAAAAAACATATAGAATCTTTCCTTGTTGAATTATTTCCTATTTTGTATTTCTCTTGTAGTATTTTTGAAAATGTAATACGTGCTATCCGTTAGGGTGAGGGCCTGGTGATCTATAACACAGGGATTACTCTAGTATGGACACCAGTCTCTCACAAAGGTCAAAATTATCTACAATCGTATTATTTAAGAAATAATGTGAAATTATATACCTTTGTGAAGAGAAAAATAAAATGATTTATTATGGGGTATCTATATAGTTTTCTCATCTGGTTGGGTTCTATAAATATATAATTATAAATGAAAATGAAAAAATAAATATACATAAATATCAATAACATAAAATAAATATAAAAGTCATTGAGTTACAATACCTATAGAGTCACAAACAGACAAATAAAATGTCCGCGCCAAAACTCGGCGCACGCTGCGAAGTGCGCAGAGTTTTTGTTTAGTTGTAAGGCGACCACAATCCTCGTACAACGTCCGCGATGCCAAAGTGTTCGGTGATTTCCTGCCCAAATAACAGCAGACACGTGCGAAAAAAGGATGGTGTTTCATATTTTAGGTAAGTATCATACCAAATTTACGTATTTATGTATCCACAGTGCATGTTTTCATTTAAATTTCAATAATTTTCATTTTATTAGCAAACTAAAATGCGATAACGTTTCTCTTTCACACGTTAGACAAATATGCAAGAGTAAAAGAGAAACAAATAGTCACGCGTACGAGAGTGACTCGCAAATTATGTTCTAACGGTTCTATGGAGTGGATTGATACAATAAATATTTTTACAGATTTTAAACTTAATGTACTAATATTACAATGTTGTTAAATGTTTTATTTTTTAGTTTTCCGTACAAAATGTAGGTCGAAAGAGTTTTATTATTTTAAAGTATAATTACAATATGTTTTTTTTTTGTTTTTAGTTTTCCTCGAAAATTAATATTAATTTTGTTTTATTTTAAATTATCAGCGACCCGCGTGATCCCGTGTTTCCCGGTATAAAAAGTAGGTAGCATAAGTGATAATTTAGGGTATAAGCTATTTACATTTTCATCCGAATCCGTCGATCTGTTAGAGCACGAACAAAATACAAACATACACACTAAAACGTACATTTTAATACTTAGCATTTTAGTACCTAATTCACAAACCTTAGTGGTTTACTAGTGCTATTAATACTATTAATTATTACACCAATTTTTTTTTCATTTACTTATCATATAAAAAATCTTATAAAATGTGTTATAAGATTTTTTAATATGATAAGTAAATTAAAAAGAAATTGGTGTAATAATTTTTGAAATCAGTTGTTTAGTTCTCCTAGGTACATATAAACTCACAAACTCATATTTCACAATTATTATAAACTCCTAATAATATTAGTATAAATAGCGTCTCCACTGATGCCTTGTTCCCTGCTCGTACGCAAGCCCTTGAGTGAATGATGATGACATTGCATACGAGCGACTTTGAACATTATACAAGCAGGTTAACGTCTAAATTCGAGCAAATGTCATTTTGAACTATATAATATCAAAATATATAGGTATATGGAACGGCGCTCGGACATTTTTTGAGTATTGTCAGTTAGAGATTGTGACTCTATAGGTATTGTAACTCAATGATAAAAGTACATAAATAAATAAAAGCCCAACCAGATGGAGGCCCTCGGCAGGGGAGACCAAACGGCCGAGTGTTAGAGGGAAAGGGAAAGAAACCGGCGGACGATGCGGGCGGTATCGAGGAGCACCGCCTTCTGCATTTGAACCTGGAGCGGTCCGCCACGTAGTCCCAGCCGCCTCAGATGACCCGAGAGGCTGACTGGGATTAGCCCGTCTGCAGAGACGACTACAGGAATAATTTCGGTCGGCAGACCACCCCACATGTCGGTCACCTCGTGAGCCAGGTGAAGATATTTTGTTTGCTTGTCAGTTTCGGCTTTCACGAGGTTCTCGTCATACGGAATGGTAATGTCGACCAAAAATGTCCTTGACTGTGCCCGGTCCATTAGCACAATATCAGGCTTATTCGCAAGAATAGTCCTGTCTGTGATGATGGCCCGGTCCCAATAGAGCCTGGCGCGATCATTTTCGAGCACGGCTTCCGGCAAGTACTTGTAGTACGGCAATTTCCGGTCCACGAGACCGTATTTCAGAGCGAGCTCCTGGTGTAGAATTCTGGCTACTAGGTTGTGCCTGTGCAAGTACTCAGAGTTAGAAAGCGCCGAACAACCGGAGATAACATGCCTAAGTGACTCACCGGGATGGCGACAAGCTCGACAGATGTCGACGGTGCCATCCTTTAGGATGTACCTCCGATAGTTGTTGGTCTTAATAACCTGATCCTGTATTGCACAGACAAAACCCTCGGTTTCCCCCGAAGAGATCACCAAAGCGTAGCCAGTGGAGGGAGGCTACTGTGTCTACGAAAGGCTCATGTAGAGCCTTGTAGCACCTCCCGTGGAGCTCCTTCTCCTTCCATATGGTCTCTCGGTCGGAAATGCTCTGCACTGCCGGGTCTTGCCATTGCTCGTTGGCTAAGGATAGAGGGGTAAGTCCTTTATCACAAGAAATTACGTCCTTATAGAATGGATCATCCGATCTCGCCAGGAAGTAATCACGGAGGCTGCACACTTCGCGATTATGCATGGTGAGCGCGCTCAAGAAGCCACGACCACCTTGCTTCCGCGACAAGTACAACCTCATTACCGACGATCTCGGATGATGCATCCTATGGGACGTCATGGTAGTGCGGACTTTTCTATCCAGGGCGTTAAGTTCAGTCTGAGTCCACCTGAGTATGCCAAAGGTATACATGAGGACAGGCTTGACCCAGCCGTTATGTGTGTGTGCATTATTCACACCGGACAAAAGGCTGTTAAGCACTTTGGTCAAGCGTGCATAAAACACGTCGCAAACTGACTGTTTCATACCAGTCTCATCGATACCGATGTTTTGTGACATACCCAGGTATCGGTATGTTTCAGCCTCGGAAAGGGTCCTTAAGTTGACGGGCATAGATAAGTCTACGCCCTCAGAGTTAGCAACCCTTCCCCTTTCAACATGGAGGACCGCACACTTATCCGTCCCAAGCTCCATTCCAATGGAATTGCTAAATTCACAAGTGATGTTTAGCAATTCCATAAGATGGGAGCGACTGGAGGCGAATAACTTGAGGTCATCCATATAGAAAAGGTGGGTCTGTTTTGTTCCTCCTCTCCGTAGCTGAAATCCCCTCCCGGAGCCCTCCAGTAAGGTACTGAGAGGGTTCAGAGAGAGGCAGAACCAGATTGGACTCAGACAATCGCCCTGGAATATACCCCTTCTTATCCTTTTGTGGTTCTCCGCAGCCTTCAACCGCTCGCCCAGATGACAAAGGATCGTACTCCACTGCCCCATACACTGCTCGAGGAAGTCTCTAACTGTACAGTCTATCTTGTACAGCTCGAGGACTCTCTTTAGCCATGTATGGGGCACCGAGTCGAATGCCTTTCTGTAGTCTATCCAGACAGCGGAGAAGTTCCAATGGTTGCGTTTCACCACTTTGCCAATGACCGCGTCAATGAGGAGTGGTTCCTTGGTTCCACGACCACCGCCCCGACATCCATTTTGAGCGCGCGACATCACCTGATTTGAGTCCAGGTGACAAGTGATTCTCGCGCTCAAAATGGATGTTAGTGTCTTGTATATGGTCGGTAGACACGTGATGGGGCGGTATTTGCTCGGGGCTGTGGTACCCTGGTCTTTAGGAACCAAATGAGTGATCCCAGTAGTGAAGAGGCTTGGGAGCGACTTCTGGTTGAGAGCCTCTTGAAACTGTCGGGCAAGCACAGAGTGACACACCATGAACCCCTTCAGCCAGTAGTGATGCAGCCCGTCAAGCCCCGGACTTTTCCAGTTCGGGGCCCTACGGACCGCCTCAGCTACGTCATCCGGCGTTATGATGACGGGGTCCATGGGCGTAATACCCGCACACTGACTCGCCACAACTTCCGTCCAAGGGCCCTCGCTGTGGTTTACGGGCTCTGACCACAGGCCGCGCCAGAATGCTACAGTGTCGGCCTGATTCGGTGCTCGACCCGTTCCACTTACCATTGGTCGCTCCAATGATTCATAGAGCCTCTTCTGATCACTCTGGAAGAGACGATTCTGGTTGAACCGTGTCGACCTCTCGGTATATCGCCGAATCCGCTTTCCCCAAGCAGCGATTCTCTGCTTCAGATCATCTATGCGCTCCGTTAGTTTTTGCGTTATATCCAGCTGGGACAAACTGACATTTGTCCCAGCAAACGCCATCCTGACGGTGCGCACAATTCTTGGCCTGTTGTTGCCTGATCTGAAGCATATCAGTCTGCCGATGAGAGCTCTAGCCTTTGCGATACGTTCCTCAATTCTTCTTCTCCATGCTGGGATAGCGCTACTATGGCCAGCAGCGCGTCCAGCCGCGGAAACCTTGGCGCCTATGATACGGCAGACTGCCAGCGCGGCGCCAAAAAGAATTGAGTCCGTCTCGCAAAGGTCCCTTCTGGCTTCCAAATAGGTCACCAGCATTGGGTTCAGAGCCTTCACGACAGCCCGATTCCGCTTGCTTAGGGCTATGCGGGGAAGTCGCGGTCGATTTTCGAGAGGCGTACTGCGCGTTTCCACAATCGCCTCTTCCAATGTACTCCTCATATGCTCTAATTCCAGTTCCTGGGCGACTGTTCCATCATCGTTTGAATCAACCACAACTGGGGTATTCACGGCGGCATCCACGTTTGCGGGTTGCTCTACCATTTGTGGCGCCGCATCCTCAGCCGTAGCATTCTCATCCGACGAGGGAACAGCCTCACGTCGTAGCCGTTCGAGTTCGGCGACATCAAATATATTTGAGCGCAAGATATACCGAACTCGGTCTGCCAGGTTTTGCTCTGTGACGGTTAAAGATGGCTCCAGCTCGGCAAAAAGACGATGCATCCTAGCCCGATACGCCAAACATCCAGTTTCTCCCCCTTTCGCCCTAAAATACGCCCGCAATGCGTTGCTGTTCATCTGGGTTGTCCAACGCATGCGGCGTACTCCACCAGAGGCGGGTGCCGATTGCTGGGCCCGCGAAGACCCTGCCGACCCCAAGCCAGCTGGTGGGGATGATGGATGCGAGGGGCTGCTGGGTGGTCGTGCAGCACCTCGCGCTCGGCTAGCGGTTCGCATGCTGCCGCGTCCAGCGCCAGCTCCAGACGCACCCTGGCGACCTCCAGGCAGCGGCCCTTTGCGCGTTCTTCCGTATTTCATCATCCATAGTGGTGGGCGTCATTTAGCGGGGAGACGCCCAGACCCGGCGCCGTTTCATGGTGAGGCCATGTGCACAAGCGGGCCTTTGCACCTTCAATTTTTGCCGAGGAACGGCACTAACACCTCTTGGCAAGGTGCTGACTGACTGCGCTGACGTAGCGGTTTTGTCACATAACCGTTACGTCAGCGGGCGATGGGGTCGTCACTTCCCTACGCCTTTAAAATGATTTATTATTATTATTATTTTTATTACTACCCCATATCATTCCGTGGATGTCGTGGGATGCGACAGAGGGAAACTTAAACAGGGTATGACTGAATGAAACACTTAAAATTATTAAAACTGCGGTTGCTATCCCGTCTGCTAAGCGTGGCAACTATGGCAAAATCCTCCCTATGAGGCAGTCTATGGGGAGAGTCTATGTTTTTCAGTGGACTCTTATAGGCTGTATTGGATGGAATGGATTATTTTTATGCCTTTTTTAAAAATGTCTTGAAAATGAAATATCTATAAAAATATAAATGTTAAATATTTATTTGCATAAAACGTGGTACATTTTTAGGTCTTATAACAGTGTGTACATGCATAATTTACCGGTTTATCGGTATGCAAATATTACGTCAACGTGCAATTTAATAATTAAAATTATAAAAATACAAAATTACAATATTATTTCATCTTAATTTGAATAAATCAGTAAAAGAAAGAAAAATATACAGACATGGTCATATCGTAATGCATAATGTCAAACTAGTACCTATAATGACAATTGACAATCTTACAAACTCTAAATCATGTGTCAATTTAAAATTTCATACATCAACAACAATTCGCTTTTTTTTTTTTTTTTAACATGGGGAAATGCCTACGCATACCCGCCTCGCGGGGGCAAGGACGGGTTATGTCGGACTCGCACCGACTAAAACCCCATGGTGTTCCACCTTCGTCGCATATTGGCAGGGCTACGGGAACGCTTTCGCACACATCCGCGGCCCCACCAGCGACTGCCGCCCCATGGCAGCACCTCATCGGGAGAAGAATATTCCTCCCCGTTCTCCTTTCCAAGTAAGGCGCACCAGAACACATGGCACGCCTTCCTCCACGGCCTCCAATTACATCTGCGCAACAGACGCCCCCGCGTCCGATGCGCGAAGGCCATGGGGCCAGGAAAAACGAGCACTTAGAAGTACTAGCCTTCCCGACCCCAGCGGCGGATCTGGTCTATGGCTCCGCCGCCAACCAAGATTCGGCTGCGGAGGATAGGGAGAGCGGCGCCTCGCAATACCGACAATCCTCTACCCCGCAGCCCCATCACCACCGCATCAACGGTGCGGCCGCGTTTGAGTCGCGGAGGATAGGGCGAGTGGCGCATCGCCATACCAACACTCCTCTTCCTCCGCGACTCCACCTCGGCTGCAGCGGTAGAGGGTGCGGAGTCCCCACTCGCTGCAGTCCACCAGCACACATCCGAAGTGGGCTCCCCAAGCCCACTCGGAGTGGCCACCTCAGGCCGGCCCTTCACCTCGGACCAGCCACGTGGATTCCTCTTTGTTCACCGTGGGAGACCAAGCCACGGCTACTAAGCCCCCCCGCCACGACAAGGCGGGAAACCCGTTCGGGGGGGGAACAACAACAACAATTCGCTTGAGGCTTTGACTAGAGAAAAAAGAAAGGACATGACATACCGACGAAAAAAACGTGTATACTTAAACTGAGTCTGGCACAAAGATGGCGGCTTGACGTAGTGCTGCGCACTATAATGAATATCGATAATGTGGCGCTTATTTAGAAAAAGATTCTTTCGTGTGATTCGCCTCAAGCACCCGTGTGTTCTTAGATAGCTTTTTTTAAATAAATATGACGGATTTTTAAATTGTAGGTCCTTAATTTTTTTTAAAGTTATACCTATGTTTTCGGTTCATTACTCTTAAGCAGTCGTTTTTTTTTTTGTTTTTATAATGTAGCTATTATTAATGTTACAATTATTTCCCGGTAATTACTAAACAAGAAATACTAATTAAAGAATTTTTGTTTGTTTATTAGACAATAAATTAGGCTTAGTCATCATACTCACACGAATAAAACTATAATAAATGCAAAAGTTTGAATGTTTGTTTGTTCCTCAACCACGCCAAAAGTATCAGACCAGTTTGAGTGTAATAATTTGGCACACAAACAGTTTATTACCTGAATTAACTTAAAGGATACTTTTTATCCCGATTTAGAGGTCCCGAGGAATAGAATAAGAAATTTCGTAATAATCGAATTCCACGAGAGAAACATATTATGAAAATAACACACTCACCTCGCTAAAGTCGCAATGACAACTGATATAGTTGTCATTGACTGTGACAAAACATGGCGCCCGGCCGCAGCAAAAAAATTGTTGCTATATTCCGTAATGATAAAACTACTGTTGTCCTTTTTTATACGAATATATTCATAAGCCAAAAAGAGACGCCGATATTTCATTACATTCCTACAACTAACGATCTTTATGTCATGTCCTTTCTTTCTTCTCTAGTCAAAGGCTTGAGGTGACCGTTACGGCAGAATTTGACAAATTCATTTATGTCATAAAAACAATTTTTAAAACCTGAAAATAATATTTTTAAAAAGTTTAAATGTCAAGTTTTGAATATGGTTCGGAAGTAAATTAAATAGTCGAACGCACAACATGCTATAACTATTTCAAGCAAAACAAATTCTTGTACCACAACGATCATTTTGTTGTTTTGAGAAGAGTTTAATTAGCCCAATACAGATCCCACAGCTGGGTACAGTCCTGCTCTCGTACGTAAGAAGCTTATTGAATAATCAGTCCGCCGCGCTGCGTTTTTTGCAATAATCGTTGGAGTACTCCAAATTTGCTCTACTCACAATGCTTTGCTTCACAATCGAAAAGCGAACACGGACTAAGTCAGCACATACTGCAATTAACAAATTCATTGATGCCGGAGAGGATCGAATCCGGGGTGCGCTCGTATGGTGATACTTACAGCGAGCACTTAAGGGATATAGTAAGTCAGCTCTCAGCTCAAATTTTAATTTCGCCCTCACTTCACCGCGCGTCGTATGCCATGTACCGACATGTTTGTAATCACTAATACTGTAAGTAGATAGGTCGTAAGATACTTATTTCATTAGGTTTATCATATTTATGCCTGTTCTTTACGCCAACTCAGTCGCTTCTTATTTTTATTACGGTTATTTCGCATTTTAATTCTACGTCGTCCTGTTACGTAATATGCATTCTGATAGTAAGCGACACAACTTTCCCCTTCGAAAGCCTAAGCAAGACTGATGGATGGAGTGGAGATTGATCGTGGGGCAGGAAACAAGCTTCAAGACGCCGATAGTTTAGATAATTTATTTTTACAGTGAAAATAATGACAATTTAAAAAAAATAAAAAAACATAAGCCCAACCTTATAGTTAGTATGCAAAGTTTCATGATTTCATTTAAAATATTTTATGAATACCAGCGGTTTATTGTTCAGTTTGGAGGTAACTTTGGATTTTTTTCCATCGAGAAAATTTTACGGAATCGTGTTTTCGTCTAACATAATACTTAGCATTAATCCTCAACTTTACCATATATTTATTTCAAAATTAATGCTGCAGTATTTTCGGCATAACGGAGGATCTTGCTAAATCATTTGAGGTAGTATTTTTATTATTTCCCTTTAACCCCTGAGCTAAAACTATTAAAATTAGTTTTTTTAATGGAATAAGAGTGACCAACGCGCACACAGTCCACCTGACGGTAAGTAGATTCTATGACAGTTAGACATCTACATTTATCCTTGACTAAGAATCAAAATGCATGTGCGTTGTAACCCCTGAAGACTATGATGGAATGCCTTGTTTCAGTTCTGTGACAGTTTTGTTCTACCTCAGTTGAACCGACACATTCGTGCTACATCTTTAATATAGCTACAGCGTGGCTCTAACACGTACATAGAAAATATTAAATAACGACGATATTTAAAAAAAAACGTAGCCAAAGGTGCAAGACGTCTGGTTCGATTGTCATTCTGCCCAAGCAGTGATTTTACGGTCCGGATGAAAAGAAGAATGAATAAAACATAATAATTGATAATACTGTAGCATAATACTTTATTACCTATGTATAAATAAGTCGTTTGCTAAGGGTAACAACTACAACAAATATTTCCGCAATGTGGAAATGTATAAAAAGTTAAAAGTTACAGCCTATATACGTCCCACTGGTGGGCACAGGCCTCTTCTCATTTCTGAGAGGGTTTAGGGCAAGGGAGTGTCCGCCGCACTGCCCCAATGCATATTGGCGAACTTCACATGTCTTCGAAATATTTTATTTCTCAAACATGCAGGTTTCCTCACGATGTTCTTTATTTTCCTTCACCGCCGAACACATCGTAAATCAGCACTTAAAATTGCAATTAACAATTTCATTGGTGCCGGCGGGGAACGAACCCCAGTTGCTCGAGAACTGTAAAATTTACACCGAGCGCTAACTATCTGAGCTACCGCAATTAATGCGGAAAGGCAATGTACTTCTGATAGGTTGGAACGGTGAAAATAACACAAAGAAGATACAATTTAGTCAATTTTTATTTAGGCAGTAAGCATTACATAGATCCATAAAGAATTCAAGTTGTTCCGATCGAATACGTTACTATTTAATGTTAACGTGTTAAATA